GGACTCCAGGATCATGACCTGAGCTGAAGGCAGTCGCTTAACCAACTGAGCCACCCAGGCACCCTAGAAACATGGTTCTTAACAAAAGTCTGGATGTTTGCCTCTGGGAAGGAGGGAGGAGGATACGGTTGGGAAGACGGGCTCAGTGGTGTTGGGCGGGGGTGGGGCACACTTTGTAATTATTCTCTAAACCACTTATGTGTAGTTTCTGCACGTCTTTGTTTATCTCTCACACACACAGAGATGGATGGAAGGTAGTTCTCTCAGAGTTTCTCAATCATGCCTTAATGGTACATGCCATGTCCTTCATGGGTGGCTCTGTCTTCTTGGCTCTTTGGCCCCATCCCCTTTCTGGTCCCCCACCCCAGCATCACCATGGTGGTCCACACACCCCCTCGACCTGAGACACTGGTGTTTTCTCCCTCAGCAGCTGATGCAGGTGATTGAGGTAGAGGGTACAAATTCCCTTGCTCTCTCAACCTCGCGGGTGACTTGGAAGTCTGGAAAGCAGAGATGCCACAGAGGCCCCAGAGGAGGAGGGATAGCAGGGGGAGCTCTAGCCTCCGGTTCCTGAGCAGGGAGGGCTTAGCGCTGACCTCCCCTGGCCGCCTGGAGGGCAAACCGGCTCTCCCTGTAGGCTGTGGGGCCTGGGAAAGCCCTCTGATGAAAGCTTTCCTCAGCCACATGGACACCCTCTCAAATAGGACGATAGCCGTTTCGAGGAAAGGGAGAGGATTTGCTCTGTAACCCAGAGCAAATGAGGCAGAGTGTGTGTGGGGGGGTCATCTGTCTGAGTCTGTTCATGGGAGCTGGGTGGATGTGCCCCCGGGGGAAGGGGCAGACCTGAGATTTCCACGGCAGAGCATTTCATCCTCTGCCCCGGGGCTCCAGTAACTGGAGGCCACCGCGGCTGCCGACCGAAGAGGTGTCCGCCAGAGTAGCCTCGCTTGGTGTGGCCTCTTTCAGAAGGCAGACTTGGCCTAGCTGTCAGGCAGAAGCATCTCTCTCCTCACCGTGCTCTGTTTGTGAAAGAAATCGCTCAGGAAATACGAACTGGAGACTTAACAGTAATTCTCGCAGTGTGACCAGTGCAGACTTAGGGGAAAATCTCACGGCTTCCCCACGTCTGCCTTCCTGACAGCTGAAATGCCCAAGGTGAAAATGGCCTCAGATCGAGAGGGACTGGCAGTGGAGTACCAGATCACGCAGATTTGTGCTAATGCGTCCCTGCTCGTTCCCAAGCAGTGTGAGGTCAAGGCCGTCTGAAGAACAGGCCGACTAACCCAGAGGGCCAATTTGCCACCTACCCTGAACATACAACAACTGGCCTCTTGCCTTGCCATTCACATTTACAGAACATTCCAGGGCCCCACCTTGCCAACAACACACAGTTCTAAGCTGCATTTCATCAAAGAACGTCATTTTTACAAACTCATTAAGAGCTGGACAAGGCCGGGCTTGCAGGCGGGCGAAGCCTGGAGAACGACTCTTTAGTTCTTTTGATGACTCTAGTCTTAGCGTCCAGATCTCGGGCACATATGTAGAACGTCCTTCTTGCCCTTTTCCACCAGTACCCTGCTCTTCCTTCTTCCCCTTCCCTTCATCCTCTCCCCCTTCTCCAAAGCTGTGAGTGACACACAGCTGTACAGGAGGGGAGACAGTGGAGGTGGGCGCAGCAAGGCGGCAGCTTGATTACAGCCATAGAAAAAGTGAGTTGGTGTTTGACCATTTCACAAAATACCCTCTTTTCAGGATCTGTCTGTATGTTACAGTTTTGTCATGCAAAGTCTGATGAAAATCCTATTAGAGCGTATTTTGGGATCGTACTCTAAAGAAGTTAGGTTGAAAGTGAAGGCAAGAAAATTGTCTTTCCAGAGGACTCATCTGTGCACTGCCCCATTTTCTCCATTCAGGAAGGAATAGTTTCTCCGAGTGACCTTGACCTTGTCATGTCAGATGGCCTGGGCATGCGGTATGCGTTCATCGGACCCCTAGAAACTATGCATCTCAATGCAGAAGGTATGCTTTGCTTCCATAGGGGCGAAGATGGCAATTCTGTGCTATTTCGTGGTCTTATGGGTTTTGTCAACAGTACAGTTTGGCCTTTTTTTTTTTTAAACAACTGAATAGGAACAGTATCATATGAAGGAGACAGTGCCAGCCCTGGGAACTCACAGAGAGGGCCGTGTCCTGAGATGTCCGTGCACACGGAATCCAGGAACCTCAGGGCTCTGTGCGGCAGACAGCACTCAGACAGGAATGAAAAGACAGATGAGGGTGTTGTCATGGAGACTTTGCCACATGGCATCCAGCCTGATGGAAGACAAAGTTGTGTTTTCCTGAGAAAGATGATGCCATTGTTTACAGAGGTAAGACAGATAAGGGAAGTGACCACCTCTGCGGTACATAACTTCTGCCTAGATAGGAGCAGTTTCTCCGTGTGACTGGCCTAGGGTAGGGCATGGGCAGCAGTGCAGGGCAGGCGGGTCATTTACCCCAGAAGCCAACTTCACAGGGCCTGGGGAGGTAGGTCGAGGCCCACGATCTAGTGACTCTAACAGAAAGACAAGTTGAGAAGGCTGAGAAAACCTGCGAGAATGGAAGTGTCAGCCGCATTTTAAGCGATTCAAAAACAAGACAGCATTTGAAAAACAAGCCCTAAGACCTACACTAAACTGAAAATAAATTTTAAAAGGTATGAATGAAAATCTAGGAAACTGTCACCTAAATGTCATTACTACTTGCTATGTCTTAGTGTTTAAATTATAAGTAACTTTTATTACCTTTTTGCTTTTCTGTGTTGTCATAGTTTTCTACAATAATTGCCATATTATTTTAATAATTATGTTATTAATGTGTAAAACATACGTGGAAAGAGAAAAGGAATATTGTATTTAGCTCCATGGTCCACATTTAACCAAAATGTTAAGAAACTGGAGCTTATCCAGGAGAAGGTGACCAGAGAAGAGCGTGTGTGAGCACGTGCGCGTACGTCTGTCTGTACGTGTCGTATGTCGGGGTGGAACCAGATTGAAAGAGTGGACGTGGCAGGCAGACAGGCTTGGGCTCAGCACGTGGCAGGAAGTTTCTAGTAACTGAAGCTGACGTTGAGGGAGAGGGCCATGCTATGAGTGGGTGAATGGGGCAGTTGGGGGCCGGTTGTCCAGCTGACAGGATGTTTCGATATTGGGCAGAGACACCTGTAATGAAGTGGGAAGTTGGGATAAGTGACCTGTGGGAGTCTGTTTGACTTAGATTTTATAATTCCACCATGTTTTGGTAATAGTTCAATTTTTGCCACCGTAGTTAGTGAAATATAGTTTCCAATGAATAAGTCAAGGCAGTTTTACCAGTCATAGTCTTGTAGGGACACATATATGTGGTGGCTTGAGTGGACTGGTCTTGTGTGTCATGCAAATGTCGTTCAGTAACTGACTTGACTCTTCCTTACAACTGAGCATGATCGAGAGGTACTGGAGGAACAGGAGACTCTCTCCTAGCACGAGCATATTACTTTTGTAGTGGGATAACAGTCAAACACGGGAAGATAATGTAAAGAAAGAGGCCCTCCTAAAAGTGAAACAAGAGTTTTGAAGTATCATAAAATAAAGTCTTGGAGAATTTCAAATGCTTTTTCAGCCAGAACCTTAAAAGTGGCAAACATATTTAAACATTTGAATGTATATAGACACTGTTTGGTAACCACCATGTTTTTCTCTTTTTAAAATTTTTTTTCTTCAGAAAAATAAGATAGTTCAGGTATCACGAGACATCAGTTGGGAGACAACTGAGAGCAGCTTTGACTCTCAAACAAATAGAAACAGAAGCCAATGAAACCAGAAACTCAAGAACCAAATAGTGTGGCAGACAGGAAGGAGGCCTATAACAATTTTTCAGACAAAGCAGATATGATAAGAAAACCCTAATTGGCTTAATATGATAATGGTGGGCGGATGTAGTTTTCAACTTCAGAGCATTCCAAAGACCAGAGTTAGACTGTTATAAGATCTGGCTTGGAACCAATGGAAATGTTCATTATTCCTCACAGTGTCATCCAGAATATATCAAGATTGGGGGGGAGAGGGAGAGTTCTTTTTTTCTGATGTTGTTTTCATAAAGCCAGCATCTCAGGTTAAGACTAGTTATTAGTCTTAAAGCTACAGTTTATCTAGAAGTGGTAAAAATATTTTAGCATCTGTTTTTAATCTAATAAAATGGCACCTGAAAAGCTGGAGGCCAGCATGCCGACTTTACCTTTTGGCTGCTTTTTTTTTTAAGATTTTTTTTTATTTTGAGAGAGAGAGAGCACAAGAGGGGGGAGCGGGAGAGGGAGAAGCAGACTCCCCGC